GTTGAGCTATAGGCGCCGAGCCTCCAAAACATCTTTGACCATAGACTCCACTTTATCTTCTAGTTAAGCAAAATACCTGATGACCATTGTTATTTAGAAGACACTTGGAGAAAAGCCAAGCTAAAGAGAGATAAGGTTTATAGTTTTTACTACATCATTTAAGAATGCACATGAAACTCTGATATTAATGCACCCTACTTATCACTATCCCATAAAGATGTCAATATGAATTAAGAAAATACAGTAGGCTCAGCTCCTATACCTCAGCGGTTAGGGCACTGGCCACATACACAGGGGCTGGCGGGTTTGAGCCCGGCCCAAGCCCACCAAACAATGACTACAACAAAAAAATAGCCAGGCATTGTAGTGGGCGCCTGTAGTCCCAGCTACTTGGGAGGCTGAGGCAAGAGAATAGCTTAAGCCCAAGAGTTTGAGATTGCTGTGAGCTGTGACACCATTGCACTCTACTGCAGGCAACATAGTGAGACTGTCTCAAAAAGAAAGGAAAAAAAAAAAGGACGGCGCCTGTGGCTCAAAAGGGTAGGGCGCTGGCCCCATTTGCCAGAGGTGGCAAGTTCAAACCCAGCCCTGGCCCAAAAAAAAAAAAAAGAAAAAAGAAAATACAGTAAATCTTTAAGAATCAGAAGACTTGGTGCCTGTAGCTCAGTGGTTAGGGCACCTGCAACATACACTGAGGCTGGCAGGTTCAAACCCAGCTGAGGCCTGGTAAACAACGACAAATGCAACAAAAAAAGACGCGGGCATTGTGGTGGGCACCTATAGTCCCAGCTACTGGGAGGCTGAGGCAAGAGAACTGCTTAAGCCCAAGAGTTTGAGATTGCTGTGAGCTGTGAAGTCACAGCAATCTACCAAGGGCGACATAATGAGACTCTGTCTCCAAAACTCTAGAAATTTTTAAACTAATTGGCCAACTAATTTTTATCTTTCTGAATATTTCCTCATGTGTAAAATGAAAAATGTACCAGGTACAGTGGGTTGCATCTTTAGTCCCAGCTACTGGGGAGGCTAAGAGAATCTGAGCTTAACAGTGGGCTATGATTGACACCTCACTGCACTCCAAGCCTGAGCAGTAGAACAAGATTCCCATCTCTAAAAAAAAGGTTTTTTAAAACAGTGAAGAATCTATCTGCCTTCCTCTGGCAGGGGAAGAGGAATGAGAGACACTCTAATGTGAGTATGACTCAAAATTTTGTCAATTATAGCTTTACCACAATCCATTATTTTTTCACATAGCTTTACTGAGGTATAATTGACCAAAAAACTGTATATACTTAAAGTGTACAACATGTTGTTTTGTTTTTTTGCAATTTTTGGCCAGGACTGGGTTTGAACCCACCACCTCCGGTATACTGGGGCCAGCACCCGAGTCCTTTGAGCCACAAGTGCTGCCCCAACATGATGTTTTGATATACATATACATTGTGAAATGATTAATATAATCAGGCTAGTAAAAATATTATCACCTCATGTAGTTACCACTTTTATCTTTCATGGTTAACAGCAAGCATTTAAGATCTATGCACTCAGCAGATTTTAAACACACGTATAGTCACCATACCATAAATTAGAGTGCCAGAAAGTATTCATCCTGCATAATACAACACATTTTTACTAATATTTTCAGACATCACATTTTTTAAGATTTTAGAAGCTATCACTATTCAAAACACTAAAATAATCACTTTTAGTTTATTGAATTGTTCAATTTGAGAAAAGAATGGAAAAACTGAAGGTTTCTTTTATAACTACCTGCTCACTGATTCCTGTTCCTCCATAAACACAGACCACTCTAAGTCCCAAGGTCTTTGAAAACTTCTTACACTCTTTAGTAATTTGTAAAGCCAGTTCTCGAGTTGGAGTCATGATGACAGCTGAAAAGACAAATAAATCAATAGCCTAACCACCAAAATTCTTCACAGGTGATGCTTAAAGTGTTAAATTTAACGTACATAACTCTTCCTCTAATTTTGTTTTAATTTGTTTTATGCATCTCTGAAGACTATTTCAAAAGCTTCATAATGGCAGAGGTTGTAGTGAAGTAGAGCATAAGCAAATTTTTAAAAACATGCTACAAGAAGATAAATGAAAGTGAAATGCCTCGCTCAACCCTCAGGAAAATATTTAGTTGAACAGAATGCAAACAGTTCTCAACTGCAAATCACAAAACAAAGAAAATCAAGTGACTCACTGTGCCGAAGAAGCCATACTTCTGTTTCCAGAAACAACCTTGTTCTGAGGGGCACAGAGGACAAATAGACTGTGCCCTGTGGTTTCCAACAGAGGAGCTGAACAACCTTCCAAAACCCTACTCAAATTTGCAGAAGACAACTCTGCCAAAATGAATCAAGAAATCTCAATCTGAAGACCTACTCCTGAATGAAATGGTGGCACTACTGCCTTTTAAGGCATTAAAAAAACCCTAGGAAAACACATTTCCCTACAATCTTCTATGTTGAGTTTAGATATCCACTGATACTGGACTAAGAACAAACCTCAACATAAATAAACAGATAGATGCACGAGGAGTCTACCTGCCGAGTCAGAGTTTAAAAACTGAGCTGTGCCAGGAGAGGCTGTTTTTGTACTTCTGAGATGTCACTCCAGAGCTCTGAAGATTCTCACTCCACCTGCTGGTAAGGGGAAATCAGCCCCAAAGTGCCAAATTGATAAAGGAAATGTACATAAAGACATCTTTATTGTCATAATTATGAACATTATAAAGTATCAGGACTTTCTGATTAACTGACAACAAAGTTGTTATCTGAAAAAAAATAGTTTAATAAAAAGAGTTATACCTATTGGCCCCTCTCCTTCTTCCAATGACCGCTGATCCATGATGTGCCTAAACATAGGCAACAGAAAAGCAATGGTCTTTCCACTTCCAGTCTTAGCAATACCAATCAAATCTCGTCCAGACATTATAGCAGGAATTGCTTGAGTTTGGATTGGTGTAGGCTTTTCATAGCCATGCCTTAAAAAAGAGAACCAGAGAAAGATAACCTAAGAATTGAAATTTCTGGGTCCCATAAAATTAAGTTCTTCCAAAATATGGTATATCAAACTATCAAACATGGTATAACAAAATATGGAAATATTTGGGCTGGGCGCGGTGGCTCACACCTCTAATCCTACCACTCTGGGAGGCTAAGGCAGGTGGACTGCGTGAACTCACAGGTTTGGGACCAGTCTTAGCCAGAGTGAGACCTCGCCTCCAAAAATAACCAGGTGTTGTGGTGGGTGCCTGTAGTCCCAACTACTTGGGAGGTTGAGGCAAGAGAATTGCTTGACCCCAAAAGTTTGAGGTTGCTGTAAGCTACAATGCCAAGGCAACTCTACCCAAGGGTGACAAAGTGAGACTCTCGTTCTCAAAAAATACACACACACACATACATATATATGGAAATATTATTTACCAATAAAAAAGGATAAAGCACTAAGACTTTCCACAACATAGATAAACCTTGAAAACATGCCAAGGGAAAAAAGCCAGTCACAAAAGAGTATATGATCCCATTAGTCTGAAACGTTCAGAATAATAAAATCTTTACAGATAGAAAGTAGATTAACAATAGCCCAGGACAGGAGAGAAGGAAGATGACTACTAATGAACACATGTTTCTTTTGGGGATAAGGGAAATTTTTTATATAGTGAAAGGTGCACAACTATATAAATATACTAAAAACCACTGAATTATATACTTTATAGGACACACTTTATGATATGTAAATTATCAATTTAGCCATTATTATTTATCAATTATCAATAAAGCCACTTAAAATTATCAATTTAGCCATTATCATTTATCAATTATCAATATAGCCATATATCAATTATCAATTATCAATAAAGCCATTTAAGAAAAAAGAAGAGTGGCTGAGTGCAATGGTTCACACCTGTAATCTCAGCACTCTAGGAGTGCCAACAAGGAAGGATTGCCTGAAGTCAAGAGTTTGAGACCAGGCTCCGCGGCTAAGGTGCCAGCCACATATACCTGAGGTGGCGGGTTTGAACCCAGCCCAAGTATGCCAAACAACAATGACAGCTGCAACCAAAAAATAGCCAAGTGTTGTGACAGGTGCCTGTAGTCCCAGCTACTTGGGAGACGCAGGCAGGCAGAATAGCTTGAGCCCAGGAGTTTGAGGCTCTGCCTCAAAAAAAAAAAAAAAAGAAAAAGAAAAGAAAAGAAAAGAAAAAAAGAGTTTAAGACCAGCCAAAGCAAAGCCCAGCTCTCCTAGCCAAGTGTGGTGGCTTCTGCCTATAGTCCCACCTACTCAGGAGGTTAAGACAGGAGGAATGCTTCAGCCTAGGAATTTGAGCTAGGCTAAGGCCATGGCACTCTACCCAGGTGACAGAGCCAGACTATCAAAAAAAGAAGAAAAAGAGTAAGTTTCCTATTAGACTAAAAATGTAACTCAGAAAATATTTGTGTGAAAGTGGTATTTTTGAGTAGCAAGACAGTGAAATGTGGACAAATATCACTTACTTTTTTAGGGAATTTAAGATCTTCATGGAAATTCCACACTGGACCCAAGATTTAATTGGTTTGGGACAACCTTTTCCTTTAACTGTAATGCCTTCCATTTCCAGTCGAAATACATTCACCTCTGAAACACAAAACCCAAATTAAAAACTCTTAAACAGTGTTCTATTGATGCCTTCTCTTGTTAAATTAGACATGATACTATTTTTTTTAAACAAGATGCTTGACTTGAAGGGAAAACTATCTAGGATTCATTTTTTTTTAGAGTAATTTATTCCTACTTAAAGACAGATTGCCCTACATGTAGAAGCTATGTACAAAAAAGTTATAAAATTGTCCTTGGTTTTACAATGATAAATGAAAACATTAAAATTTTCCAATTGAACAAGGTATGCAAGGTTTTTCGCGTTGTTGTTTTGTTAAAACAATGAGAACAAAATAACTTACTGGAATATAAAGATTAGAGCAGATGAGCATGCCACTAATGGAGAAAAGGGAATATTTTCACAGAACCAATATTTTTCCCCAACCCATCTCCACCTGATGTCAATCAAAACATATTGTCATTGGCCATTTAGTTTAAAAAAAAAATGCAATATGCTTTTGCACATACACCAGTTACTTTATGTACAATAAAGGAATAGGGAAGGGGAAAATGAAAAGAACAGAGAAAACTATACTGTAATAGTCAGGATGTGGTGGAACCAAACTGCAGTTTTCTAATTGAAAATGTCATCTTGGTCTATAACAGAGTTCTGGAGTAAAGTAGCATATTCCCTTTTTAGTAGACAACTCCTATCTGCTGTTAGAACACATCAATTGTATCTTCATCCACCATTTCCAACTGTGAAGGCAGGTCTGTTTCACTGATTGGCTGCCCATCAAATCAGAATCTGATCTGCCTCACTGACAAACCCTGTCGTTCACAATAGGCTTTCATTAGTTTACTAACTGGTGTATGACTCTTAATCTTAAACTGTGCCACAGAACCATCCTGTCCCGCCACCTTTAAACTTATGGGATCATTGTTCTCAGCCTTGACTCTTTCCTTAGGCTTTTCATCTGCCATGGCGAGCGCCCGAGTCTCCTCAGCTGCCACTTCACAAAAGAGGTACCAGGTCTGCACCAAATGAGCAGACAGACACCACCAGGAGCAGCAGAAGCTACATATGATACTATTAAGATTCTTCAGGCCAGGAGTGGTGGCTCATACCTGTAATCCCAGCACTCTAGGAGGCTAAGGCAGGAGAATCACTCGAGCTTAGGAGTTTGATTGGGCTGAGCAAGAGTGAGACCCTATCTCTACTAAAAATTCAAAAATTAGCTGGACTTTGAGGAGGACACCTATACTCTCAGCTATTCAAAACTCTGAGGCAGGAGGATTGCTTAAGCCCTAGAGTTTAAGGTTGTAGTGAGCTAGCCTACGGCGACAGATTAAAAAAAAAAAAAAAATCTTCACTCCGAGAAGGAACTTGGGAGGCCAAGGAGTTCAAGAATAGTCTGGGAAAATACCAAGACCACGTCTCTACAAAACATAAGAAAAATCAGCCCTGACTGGTGCCACCTGTAATCTCAGCTACTCAGGAGGCTGGGGCAGGAGAATCACTTGAATCCTGGATTTTGAGCTTATAGTGAGCAAAGTGAAGGGTATCCTCCTCTGTTCCCAGTATAAACAATGAACAAATAAAGAGAATTTTACCCTCTTGAGACATTTTTGCTAGTTCTGGAACTTCAACATAAAAATTTTTTCTGAATGGTTCATATTCAATTTTTCCGTGATCAACTGGTTCTAGCAGCTTTCTTTGTTTGGTCTGATAACCTGTAAGGGCCGTCTGAAGATCAACTTCTTCTTCCTCTGAAGAGTACTATAGTTAAACAAACAAACAAACAAGAGTCTATTACAGTTTTCCCCTTACCAAAAGCAACTGTCCTAGCTTTAAAAATCCTCCTCTCAAGGCAGCACCTATGCCTCAGGGAGCAAGCCCCATATACGGAGGGTGGCAGATTCAAACCCGGCCCCAGCCAAACTGCAACAAAAAAATAGCCAGGCGTTGTGGCTGGCGCCTATAGTTCCAGCTACTCAAGAGGCTGAGGCAGGAGAATCACTGAAGCTCACGAACTGGAGGTTACTATGAGTTGTGATGGCACAGCACTCTGCCGAGGGTGACACAAGAGACTCTGTCCCTTTTAAAAAAAAAAAAATCCTCCTCTCCTAGAAACTATTCTTTAGTTTTTGTTTCATTTCTGAAACAGACAACTTCATGCAAAATTTTTTCATGCTGTG